TTGCTCTTCTATATTTCCTCACTTACAGAATGGTAAATATATAAATTTTATAGATAGAAAACAATAAAACATGCTTACAAGTATGCATCAATCAACACCAAAGAGTCATAAGCATAATATTTTTTATAGAACCAGTCTTTATTTTATCATTAATCAAATAATCATCAATGAATTTTTTTCCTCTCTAGATGGCATGGCTTGTGTGTCCACCTTTAAGTCAAGGTACTTTAATATTTGTAATATTTTTAATTTGTTGTACAACTCCACCTGGTCTTTTTTATAAAACTCTTCAGATAATATCAACAAATCATTCGAGTCCAAATTAAGCCTACCTATACTTAAATGTACAATTCTTTGGCAAATACAGAGACTAAGTCAGCGGATTAACTTATTTCCCTATACCCCAGGGAAATAAGATAAGCAAGGATAAAAACGAAAATGATGTTGTGTTGCACATAATTTCCACATTTATACTAGTTTTTTTTCTCATACAGGCTTATCCTGTTTTTCCGGTGTTGAAGGATGAACCTAAAAAAAGAGCTTACGCATAAAGTGCAATTCTGAATATGCTATCCATATTTGGGCATTTTTTATATACTGTTAAATGTAAATTTTATTAAATAATATATAATATCAATAATTTAAATGTTACAACCTCACTCTGGGGATTATTTTTATACGAAATTCAATAATATCAACAATGGTTTGTTATATTTACATGATGATATATTATATATGTATATATATATATATATATTCATCTTACTCGAAATGTTTTGCCTAAAAGCTTACATAATGATAATTGAAATTTCATTAACAATTATAAAACTTTGGACAATGATTTCGCACAATTCATTTTTTTTTTGCGCAATGATTGTAAAAAAAATTTCATTTGTAATTTTTGCGTAAGAGTTACACAATTGGCTTGCACAATACAAACATTTAAACAATATTGTAATAATTTGAAAAAAGCTTAGGTTTGCAACGGGCCTGTTAGACCTGCATAAACATTACAATCTGAAATATCTACGCAGCTATACACCAAATTTATTTTCTGATGTAGTTTGTTGCGTCATCACTGGTGGTCGTACTGTACAATTCTAGGTGTTATTAAATTAAATCTGTTTCTATGGTATTTATGGTTAGAGTTATGGGGAGTGTTGTTTTGAGTATCTATGATGACAGCAATTGTACTGTCTACAATTATTGAATTGGTCATTGTGGGTCTCGTGTCAGGCTTTTGACATTCTTATAAAGTCGTATACAGTACTAGTACAAGTTATAGATATGATTGTTGGTTGGTGTTGCAGAGGAAATTGGGTATTGTGAAAACACTTTATTGTATGTATACATATTACAATTAAATATAAATGTGTTGGTTGAGCCAAGTATTTTCTTAAAAAAGTCGTGCTTTTTTTGAATCAAGCAGAGTAGCAGTATAAGTTATAGATTTAGAGGTTGTAGTTACATAGGAAATTGTTAATGAAATATCATCTGCGTCTGAAGGTGTTGTAGTTTGTGCTTTAATCTCAAGAACTATTTTCGTCATTTACTCTTGTTATCTGGATTTGATATTAATTTTCGCACAGTACTTGCTACCACCACTGCTGTTTGTAATAAAAATATTCTCATCTGATTTACTTGTAGACTTTTGATTCTTATCTTTCATTGTTGTCCATCTGATGCAATTTTAATATTTGAATGTTTTTTAAGAATTTTATTATTACATTTAAATATATGAATGTTAATGTTATCACGAATACAACAATAATTTTTGCGCGATATTTGTTAGTGGATTGAAAAAATATCATATAAAGGTCCTTCTGACCAATTGGTTTTTTTACATAATGGCGGTAAATATCAAACTGTGTTTACATAATAAAAAAATGGGAGCTGAATGACAGAATTGTTTTTTTAAATGTGTAACATAATTAGATAATGTTGTACCACAGTGAAATAAAACTGTACTGTCAGTAGCACAACCCATATTGAAATTATTGTGTGGGGAGGGAGAGAAACTATGATATCATAGGATTATAAAAATGATGATGAAAAATAAAATTATAATATTTTTATTTAATAATTCAATTTTACAAAATATAAATTTATTGTAACATTACAAAACATTAGGAATTCAATCTAGATATTAATATATTATCAATATATTATCAATATATTATTATCACGACCAGAAAGGTTTTTACGTTGGTGATGGTGATAATATTAAAATTGTTTTAATTAATTAATTAAATGCGTTTAAAAGAAATTTAATGTGAGATTTATCTTGTTATAAACATGAATCCACTCGATCAAAGCAGGCGAGATTCAAATACTAATAATACCGGCGATCTTTTTTTCTAAAAATACAGTGTTTTTGTTTGTATTCAGTGGAATTAATATCCGAATTTTGATATATATACATACATATTAATATATATATTTGTAGAAATTTCACATTAATTGAATTCTAAAAATTCTAAAAATACTCGAGATCATAAAGTTGCTTATTTATCTTTATATCTATTACAAGCAAATTGGAAAACATTAAAGCAGAGTTTTAATATTTTTAAATAATTAAACCTTAAATATGTACAATTTAATTTTCCAAATAATATTGTTTCGTTGAGAATCATAATATTATCAAAAGAAATATTTCTTTCAAAAAATAATTTATTGTTAATATGATGGTGATGTATATAAGAAGTTATTTGATGTCCAAGTGTGTATGTGTGAGAGAGAGAAGTAAAAGGCAAGAGTATAGGAAAAAAAAATTTTTTTGAAGCATAAAATAAATCTTTGTATTGATCTATTTATAGTGCTATTGTTAAATTTTCATTTTTAGAAAATCGAATTATAATAAAGCAATTTATACTTTTAAAGTAATAAAATTTCCTAATATAAAATAATAATTTACTGCAGGTCCTTGCTTTAAAAATTAATTGTCATGTTTCAATAGTCACATAATTATACACACTATCATAAGTAATAGTATTTATTGTTAATATTATAATTATTAAAAATCCTAAAGATATGTAACAATGTAAAGAATATCGTTTTATATACATAATTTATATAATAACCATATAAATTATACAATGGAAGAAATTCCTTGATATTTTTTTTTGTTTTTTAATTTTTGATAGTTGACAATCACGTGATTTTAACAATGGGAAATTAAATGTATAAAAAATGTGAAATGTGTGGAGTATTGCATATGTCATAAACATAACAATTATTTGCCTGTAAAAAGCAATTTATATTAATTATCATGTGCAAATTATAATAATTTTCCTTGGAAGCAAAAGAGAAACAAAGAAATAAAAAAAACAATAATAATCACTAATAAATTTCTAACGTATTGAAATTTTCCGATTTTTTTGTAATTCAAACTTCTTTTATATATACATAAAAAATTAATAATTGTAAAATTATAAAAGATTAGTCATAATAATATTATTACAATAATTATGTAATACATCGTCATCAACAAGAATTTAAAATTAATTGTCGTAGTAACATTGTTAATCATGAGTTGATGTTTTTTTGAAGGGTGAATTAAAGAATTCCGCCAAAAATTAATGTAGTGAAAAAAATCTTGCATCAAATAAAAAATGTCAAAAATTAGAATTCCAAAATAAATCATGTGATTTAATTTCAAAATTTTAAGAATCTTTCGTAAAATTTTTTTTAAAAATTTAAAAATTGTAAAAACCGCGAATTACGTGACTTCGATTAATCCAAATGCTGCGTAATGGTTTACAAAAATAATCAAAAGTAACACACTACACAACATACAAAATATATATAAATAGATTAGATCAGTCTGAAAGTGGGTTGACATCAACATACTTTTTTTGTTAAAAAAAAAGTCCCCCACAGTATTCCTTGTTTATGATTTTAACAAAGAAAACAAATATTTTTTGTCAGTTTCATTATTGTTACAACTATAATTATAGTTATCATAATTATAATTATAATAATAATAATAAATATTATGACTATTATTGTTATTATTGGGGGGATAGGAATTTCTGCAGGGGGTTTTCCTTTTCATTACATTTATAATATTAATAATTTAATTAATATTAAATGACAATCAATCAATTGATAAATGATGATGACCTGTCAACTGTCAAAGATTTTCATTTATAGAAATGACAAAAAAGTGATGAATTTATTTTTCTTTATTAAAAAAAAAAAATACGCCCATTGAGACTTTGACTGCATTTATAACTAAACGAGTACAATAAACAGCTGATAGAAAGGCAGTTATTTAGTTCGCTGGTGAGCAATAGTGAATAGTTATCAAGTAGAATATTTACTATTATCCTGTATATATATATATATTAAATATGTGAGAGTAATTAATTGTTATTATTATTTATTGATATTAATTAATATCAAATATTATATAAAAATTTTTTTTTCATAATTCTTTTTTTTTCCTTCTCCGCATAAAATAAAAAAATAAAATGGAAAATAAAATATTTGAACGGGCTGGGGATCAGTTTCTTGTTAAGGTGTGTTTGTACTTCAGCTTTTTGAAAGTATATAAATATCAGATAACCTATCTTGCCGCGTATTAAAAATTATAAAAAATTAAATTTTATATAAATTATATATATTTGGCTCTCTCGGATTAGAAATTTAAATTTTTTATCTTTTTTAAAAAATCAAAAAAATTAATTTATTTCGACTTGGATTATATAAATTTTATCATTTCCATTGTAATTTTTATTTTAAAAAAAGAATTAAATGCCACTGTTGTTAATAACTTTATAATTAAAAATTTATTAAAATTTAAATTTTTTTTGTTTTTCTGTTTTTTTTTTTTTTTTTTATTAAGAATAGATTTCTTTTTTTCTTTTTATTATTAAATAGATTTATAAATATATAAATATACATATTAAAATTTTTATATCTTTTTATTCATTTTTCAATTTTCTTCTTTTTTTTATATACAATACAACACACACACACACACATATATTATATATACAATGATACCAGATGTTTTAAAAAAAATATTCGAATATTTGGACGATCGAAGCGAGGTTATAGAAATTAAATCTCCAAAAGCGTTCCGTAATTTAAAATCTTGTATACTAGTAAATAGAGAATGGTGCAGGAATGCAGTACCAATACTATGGAAACATCCTTTTCATAGATATTTAAAACATCGATCGAATTCTTTAATACACACCTTATTGTTATGTTTAAGTTATGAAGAATTACAAGATATTTTCGATAATGGATGTCATCTGCCAATTTCACTTTTTGAAAGCATCGACAAATTTCAATCATCATCACAATATTTCGATTATCCGAGTTTTGTAAAAAGTTTAGACTATTTTCAACTTATTAAATTTGTGAAATCTTGGTGTGATGATTATATGGGAGGCGAAGGTGATAATAGCGAAAAATATATTGTAATTTTATTAAGAGCGATCTTAAATCATTTTGCTAAAAGATCATCGGGCCTTTCTTCTTTAAACATTCACAGTAATGGAGTTGACGATGACAAGTGTATGTTGTTACTTGAGCCAAACATTCAAAAATTAATCAAACCAGTTAGAACACTCAAAATCAGTTGTTATTTTCAAATAGATTCACTTGTTTCAGAAATATCCAAAATATGCAAAAATTTGGTAATTTTCATTTATTTTAATTTTAGCTTTAATTTTAATTTTAATTGGTTTTTAATCTTAATCTAAATTATTTAGAATGTGTTAAAAATTTCAAATTTGGACGAAACTACAATTTTAACAGCCAGAAAATTAGGGGTTCTAATCGAATCTCAAAAAGGCTTAAAGATTTTACAGCTTATTAGATGCAAATTACCTGTAAACGTTTTGATCCCATCAGTTTTAAAACAAAGACGAACACTAAAAGAATTGAATTTCCGAGGTGTCAATTTCGAAGGGGTTCATAAATTGGACATCCTAAAGAACTCTAGATTGGAAAAATTGAAAATAATCGATTCTTACAACTTGGATTCCAATCTTGTTCAATCGTTGGTAAATTCAAATCATCGAAAATTAAAAAACGTAGAGGTTTTCAGTTGTAAACCCGAAAATATTAATCATCAATTAGAAGAGTGGGCCTATAATATAAATAATCGTCGAAAGAGAAGGTTCCTATAATCGAACAATTAATATAAACTATATGATAAGTGTACACAATACATACATATGTCAACTTTGTTGGCAGTGATGTACAAACAATATGCTATTTAAGATTTTTATGAGAAATTTTATTTTATTTACTCTATTCTAAGATTATGTATATTAAGATTTTTTATTTATGAATTAAAAATTTAAGATTTATTTATTTATTTATATGTTTTAATATAAATAAATAAAAATTATGAAATAATAATGAAAAAATCAGATTGTATGACAATCAATGTGTAACATCTATTTTATTATGTTTATTATGTTGTCATTGTTTGAAATTTGTCAAAAAATCAAAAAAAAATTTTTCTTCTCGACTTGCATTGCATATTATTATAATATTTATATATATACATATTAATGAATGACAATTGACATGGCGTGTAACATATTTAAATATCTCATCTTGGCAATAACAATTTCAGGGGTTTTAGTTTTTTAATATTACTTTTTTTTTTTACCAGGTAAATGTTATTTTTTTTGATTGCTTAATCACATGTCTCTGAGCTTATTAAATTTTGCATTATTTTTAGTTATTCATTCATTCATTCATTCATTCATTCATTCATTCATTCATTCATTCATTCAATGTTTACTTCTTACTTTTTTTCATTGCTAACAAGATAAAAAGCACGGAATTAGGATTGCATCAACCATTTATCGTCTTTTTTTAAAAAAAGTTGGCTTGGATGAGTCTTTATTAAATTTATCATGGCACGAATGCTTGTTGAAGGACTGAGTCAAGTATAGTAACTAACTCTCTTTCTAAAAAGCCGCTATTGATAGAATCGAAGCCCATGAGATGACATATTCAAGAGTTTATTATATGAATCAATTTATGTAGCAAAGTTCTGTGAGATGGGAGGTAATAACGTTGACATCTGGCTCGAGTAGAGACTGTCTTACTAGCACATTTTTATTCATTAAAATTTCTCATTTTAGGTGGATTTGCAAATGACAATAAAAAGATTTCTCCTCAGAAATAGCACAAAACTTCAAGGACATCGTTAAACCTGCTATTACACATCATCCATTCTGTTTAGAAAAGGTTCATTATTACTTGATAGACGAGATAATTTGTATGACGAGATTAAATATGTCATCAAACAACAGTTGGAGAGTTGATACAAAAATTGATAAATTATTAGACATTACAGTCGAATTAGGGCTTTATCATATTATAAAAGAATTTTAACTTTTAGTATCTTAGTAAATAATATTATATGTTCTGCGTAGACAAACACGGATAGAAGTTGAAACGCACCGGAATAACACATTATAATGCTGTTGAATGCTACATTAATCATTGTGATGTCTTATATAACTAGAATTCATTCGAAGCACCTACTGCACACTTTACTTTCTCATCTTGTATTCTATGTATTTCCTCAATCAATCAATCAAATGAATTTGTTCTATGCGCTAATTTGGAAATCGTTTATATTGATATTTGTCTATGAATGAAATTAAATATAGACATATTTGATTTTGCTAAAGACAAAGATTATGAACGGCAAGTTTATGACTCGAAGCATTTTACCAATGAAAAATGGATCTAATAAACCATTATAATGCTGTGTACAGTTGTTGAATGCTACATTAATCCTTGTGATGTCTTATACAGCTAAAATTCATCTGAAGTACCTACTGCACACTTCGCTTGCTCATCTTGTATTCTATGTATTTTATGTATTTCCTCAATCAATCAATCAACCAAATGAATTTGTCGTCTCATGCGCTAATTTAGAAATTGTTTATATTGATCTTTTGCAAAAAAATACTTTTGTTTATCTATGAATGAAATGCAATATGTAACGTGATCTTCTAACAAATGTATGGAGAGGTGAAGTGATAAAGTAATTAAATATATCCGTATTTTGATTTTGCTAAAGACAAAGATTATGAACAACAAGTTTATCACTCGAGGCATTTTACCAATGAAAATGGATCTAATGATAGTTTGGGCATATTCCAGAAATCACACATGATCTAGTTAGATGATTTTGCGAAATAATTTGTATCTTCCAAGTGGAATCAATTGTAATGCTCATACTATATATGATAAATTGATAACGATACTCATACCAACTGTAATGAAATTGCAATTGAACTCGATGCTAATGCTAAATGAAGAAAAATCACTATTATAAGTGCTGATGTGATTATAATTGTTACTGCCAGTCAGTCTATTAAACAAATACGATCGTCCTGAAGACATTAAAATAGAATTTTTCATCAGATTTGGGAAGTCGTTCTTCTGTGAGTTGGCTTTTTAAAAATACAATTGTATAAAATAGCAAGATTATGAGTACAGATGACCGCCTTTAGTATATAATGTTAGTTATAATAGATTGGATATTGAATAATCAACAAATCATTTAATAAAAAAATACTTGGTTGGACAAGGCGTTATTATAATAAGAGCAAAGATTTAGTAATAATACTAAAAATCAACCATCCCTGTAATTATTTTATAGCACCATGTTCGGTTTTATTGCAGCAGCATAACCCCAAATTTTTTATTCTATTACAATAATCAGGCATGCTTTATTTTTTTCTTTTTGATTATTACTTCATTGGGAATTATGAACACTAATAAAGCCCTATTATTTTGTCATTTCTAATGATCTTCAAAATGAAATATATTTTTTTGGTCAATGAATGGCATTTTTTGAGCGAAATTCGCTGATTGGTGTGGACAAATTAACGGGCCAATTTATCGGAATTTCGAAATGGCCCGTCAACGATGAATTAATGCTGCTTTGCAATGTAGTGTGGGCTAACCAGTAAGTCATCTAATCTGAAAATAAATTAGAGGAAATTGATTGATGATTAAGATTAATGAATTGTTGGATTATAATATTAATAATGGTTTTTTTATAATGAATTATAATGAATATAAATATATTCTAAATTGCATGAAAGAAGTACCGTAATCGCAAGAACATATGAATTATATATATTTATAATTCTTTACTAAATAATTAATGAATGAATGCATTACATAAATATTATTTAATATGTACATTGGCTGTAAATTCTTATAATATAATTGAGATATCCAAATTTGAAAAAAGATTTTATATAAAAAATGAAGATTAGAATGGTAAATCATGATTGTGACAAATAATAATTATAAATAAATATGTTGCTGCTATATTATAAAAAATGATTGTTGTTCGATACATTATATATTAGATGTATTATATTTAAATTACTTACACGCGAATTAATCATTACAAAGAAAATAAAATCATGGTAAAAAAATACAAGATTTTGTTCTTGTTAAAATAATATCAATTGCCGGCAATATGGTGTCCACGTTTTTTCAATTCCTCACATGACTCTTTCCATTCATTGACTGTCACCCAAGGAAGCCTAATTACTTTAGTAGGAATCATAATAAATAAATTCCCATTACACAGTATTATTTGTTACACGAACTCTCGATGTAAAGAATATTGAGAAAAATTCGTTATTTCCTGTGTTTACCTAGTATTAATCGTTAATTAACTTAATAGGTAAATTTAATTAAATTTACAAATCAAAATAAAAAATTTCAACAAATCGCAGAAATCTTCTCATATTTCTCTCCTCTTTTCGTATACTTGACTAAATCGGTTAAAAATTAAAAAAATTTAAGGTTTTTGCATTATTATTATCGTTGTTATTGTAATTTAGATTTAAGAAAATATTACTTGAGAAAAATTTTTTCGCAATTTTCAATTTTTTATTTGTTTGTTTATTTTCCAATATTTATTATTTATTTATTTATTTATTTATTTATTATTTATTAAATTTCTAGATCAGTCATCGATACCACATTGATACCACCCGAATAATTATAGGTTTTGGCGCGAATACTTAATCCCATTTTACAATTTATTTGGTTTAAATGATTTACAATGAACTTTAAAATTTATTTCTTCCCTTCACACATTCATCAACACATGCAAAAAAAATGTTAGAATCCAATCATCTAATTTTTTTTCTTTTTTTTTTTTTAAGAGCAATCATAGCAATCTCACATTCCATTCACCCATCCCATCCATCTTTCCCTGTCATTCATTTCTTTTTGGATTTTTTTTTTAATTATTGCCAAACTTGTTATCATTACCTTATTTACCATATCAACAATCATTATCATCTATAACATATTTAGAAACTGAACATTTGCACGTGACTTTGGACATTATTATTAATTTCCGGCGTTTCTAAAATATCATCCGTGCGCTAACGTTTAACAGATAAATTACAATGCCACCACCACCCAAAATAAATGGGCGCATAAAGTTTCCCATGACGAAACATTATACACTTGAAATTTTAACGTATATATAATGTATGCAGAATGTAGAGAAAACTATAAAGAGCATTCGTAAAGAGATATTTATAAATTTTTTTTTGGAAATTATGTAAATATTGTAATATTTAGTTGAGGTAGGTGGTGCTGTAAAGGAAGGAATATTTCTAAATAATAATAATGATTCACAAAATTATGATATATTTGTTATGTCTTACCAGAATTTGTATTTCCCAGTCGGTAAACAACAAATTTACACCGTTCCAAAATTCCGTTGAGAAATCGTTTAAGTTTCCCCTAGAAAAAAAATTTTATATATAAAATACCAGCTTAGTAAAAAGTTATTATTATTATTATGTTGTGAAGCATGACTTCTTTATAAACATCCAAATCCTTCATATTTATTTATATTTGAATACTACGGCGAATGAATAGGATAATTCGTCCATATAATAACCACAAATAGTTAAATGTATATTTTTCCTTTAATTAATATATATTCCTAATATTTATATAAACGTCTAATATTCTTTAAAGAATTTTTTTAAATTTTTTTTCAAAAAAAAATCCCATTTTTGAAATATATATAATTTTTTTTTTTTGAAAATTTACCAATAAAAAGAATCTTTAAAAAAAATCTTTGGAACCGATAATAATAATAGCATTCTAATTGTTGTTTAATGAATGAATGTGAGTGAATGAATGTAAGAGTGAGTTGAGTTAATTAATGTTTAAATTTTATTAATTTAATGAAATGAAATAAGAATTATTTTTTTTATTTTTTTAAAAATATTTTTTTGGAGAAAAAAAATAAATTTTTCTCAAAAAAAGGTTGTATTTAAATCATTCATTATATATATATATATATTTATATTATTTATATATCCATTATTATTATTATTTCGAGAAAAAAAACCTTTTAAATTTTCATCCACCCCATTTTAATCAAATTGAACTAAATAAAATATAGAAAAAAATATACCTTGATCTGGAATAATAATTAATAATTAATAATATTTTATATTATAAAAAAATTTATTATAAAAAAAAATGCAAAGAAATAATAAAAGAATAAAAAATAATAACTACCATTATTCTCAATTTCCTCAGTGCGTATAAACATTTTTTTTTAATTTTTTGGCTAAAATTTATTAATTATTATTTAAAAATAACGAATTTCTTTATTTTAACCATTTATAGGCTTGAAATTTCAAATTCCTCATCTCTTCCACCAAAATCAAGGTCTTCATTGTTGGTACCTGATGTACTCGAAGAAATATTTAGTTCACTCGCTGAAACAGAACAATCAACAGTATTTTTTTATGATCAATCAACTTTAAAAAATTTATATTCTTGCATGCTAGTTTGCAGAAAATGGTCTCAAAGTGCAGTAAGAATATTATGGAAGAAACCATTCGGTCCTTTTCACGATAAAGGCTTTAAAATAATCACGACCCTTTTAAGAGGTTTAAGCCACCAAGAAAAAAAATTTTTAAGGTCACATGGGGTGAAATTACCATCATCCACCACCATCTCATCCACCACCACCACCACCGCGGCCGTCGCCTCAGTGCTACCTTTATTCAACTACCCTTCTTTCATTAAACACTTGGAGTACAGTGAAATGTTATACTCTGTTGAACAGTGGTGTTTATCTTTACCAAAATCTAAAAAAAAATCAAAGATTGTCATACCAATAATGAAAGTTTTATTAAGATTATTTTTACATAATGCTGGTCCGCTTCACTCGCTCAAACTTTCTTCACTTGGAGAAAGTTACAATGATGAAAAATTCATGATATTGGCAGAACCACCAATCGTACCTTTAATCTCCAGCGTGAAAAATCTTTCTTTGGATGGTTTCGATCATAATCAAAATGGTTTATTAACCAGGCTTCCTGATTTATGTCAAAATTTGGTAATTAGAGTTTATGATCTTTTTACGTAATTTTATTATTATTTAACGAAAAATTCTAATTATATATATATATATATTATCATATTTAAAGGAATGCTTATCGTTAAGAGGATGGTACAGCAATAAACCTTATGATGATGTACCGGATGATTCAGCCGCGATATCACTAGAAAGAATAATAAAAGCACAAAAATACTTGATATCTTTAGATTTGTTTGATTGTAAAACTTATCTTGATTATATAATATCAGCTTTGGTATCCCAATCGGTTTCGTTACGTAATGTGTACTTTAGATTTGTTGATTTTGATGATTGTGGTCCTTGGGATGGTTTGGCGAGTTGTATGAATTTAAAAAACTTGGAGTTTTGGTTTTGTGAAGGCATCACTGATAAAATGATAAAGCCTTTATTAAGCTCTGATCTTTCGGATTTAGAACAGGTAAAAATTCTTTATCATTTTCATTCCTGTGGTTGTGATGATCTAGAATGTTGGGCTCATACAATTAATGGAACTAAGCCTGAAGAGGATGATGGTGATGATGGTGATTGTTGTTAAATTATTATATTTTAGTAAATGACACACATTATAATTCATTAATAACCAAAAAAAACATTTTATGCGAAATTTAGACATTTTAAATCTAGATTTATTTCTTTTAATAAAATAAAACAAAATAAAAAATAAAAATTGTGTATATACAATATATAGAAAATAAAAATAAATTTAATATCTTTGAATAAAAAATTTTGTTATTTTTTTTTGGGGGAGCGAACAACTGCTGTCATTAAATATTTAATTAAAATTTTATTTAAAAATTTTAAAATTATCATCTAAAACTATTAAAATCATCATACAAATCAAATCATTCGCATTAATTTTATCATTATAAAAACAAATATTATAAATATAACCAAAGTTTATTTGCCACCAAATAAAATAAAATTTCGTAAAAATGGACGATTTCAATTTCAGAGTTAAAGGAATTCCTGAAAGCGATTCGTCAGAACTTTTGCGTGTACATTTAACAGATTTAAAAAATGCAAATAAAAATGAACTTCCACCTTTTATTGAAAAAATACCATTAATAATTCCTTCGAAAAATATTATATTCTATGTGAAAAATGTTGTCAAGAATGCAGTTCTTAGTGTATTGTTTGACTGGACGTCACCAATTGCTCACCCTTTAAACGTCATTTTATATATATTTATTTATGTTCCGTTACTTTTTGTTTTGTATCCTTTTGAAATTATTTTACGTTTTGTTGAATGGAACGGCTGGACTCGATTAGAAGGAACTGTTTTAGAACATTGGAAACAATTAAGCGATGAAGTTGTAGGCAAGGCTTTTTTAAAAATATAAAATCTGTATCATATAATCATCTTCGTCATTATCATATCATAATCGTTATTGTGATTATTTTATTTTTTAGAGGATAATTTGAGAAAAGGTTTTGAATCATTGGATAAATCTATACCATTGAAAGAAGAAAGAAGAAGTAGTAAATTTGATGTTGATCGAGCTGAAGCTCTTCTTTATTTATCTACTTTGATGTATAAACGTGATGAAAATGCTGTTCTTATGGCAAAGAGAAAATTAAATCAAATCAAAACAGCCAGAAGAGATCCATCGAGTGAAACAATAGATTTGGCGGAAGTTTCACAATTATTGTTAGAAGCAGATCAAGAAATTTCTGAAGAAGCCGAAGCTTTTGAATTAAGATTCAAGTCGATCAGTGAAATGCGACAATTCGGAGGTCCATACGCGGGAATTTTTTGGTCAGATCAACACAATTTCATTGTCGCAGCATTCAAAGGAACGACACCAACAAATTTTACTGAATGGTTATTGGATGCAACAATCCAACGAATGGACGGGAGAGCTTATTTGTTTGGAGAAGTCCATAAAGGTTTTTACACTTCTCTATTTCCGAATGATGAATTCTCATCTGCTGAAGCTGATAGAGAATCGGCATCTTTTTTCTTAATCGAGGCAATCAAAAAACAAGCAAAAATTATGTCTGAAAAAAATAACGATAATGGAGTTCATATATGGGTAACTGGTCATTCCCTTGGAGCTGCCTACACAACATTGTTTTATTCCCATTTATTAAAAATAAAAGAAGGCTTTGGAGATAAATGTTTATTGCGTGACGCATACGCCTTTGCAAGCCCTTTGGTTGGTGATAGTAATTTTGCAGCTGAATTTTTTTCACTTTACAACACAGATCATAATTTAGGAAAAAATTTATGGCGCATAGTTAATGATAATGATATAATACCAAGGTTACCACCACATAACCTTGCACTGTTTAGACCTTATGCTGATAATATTTACACAACAAATTATGTTCATATTGGTGATGAAATAATATTTTATCAAGATGGAATTAGAGAGCCTAAATCGCATAGCAAAATATGTGGTAAAACTTATCACGAACAATTTATTCGTGGTGATTTTGATAACAATGGTGGAATTTTGTTTAATGATAGATTTTTCAATAAATTTAATAACCATCATAGACGCAGGATGGAATCATCTATGCATAATAGAAAACTTGATGGTTATTTGTATGGTAGAATCGAACATCTTGCACCTAATTTTGCTAGAAATCATATTGATTATAGATATTTTGTTGTATTAGAAAAATCAAGAAAATTTTTTCAATAATTAAATTTTTTTGTTATTTATACATATAATAATAATTTATGAATTAAAGAAAGATTGTGTTGTTGTAATGAACAAATTAACTAACCATTGAACATATCAACAAATATCTTTTTGATTGATTATAATGAAATTCATATCCTTTATTAGGGTGAATTCCAAAGTTGAGAGCATCCCTATAAAATTTTTTTTCAGAAAATGTATGGTTTTTCATACATATTTGTCCTGAAAATGTCCTGAAAATACATTCCGTACATTTTCCTGCGCATTTTCCATACATTTTCGGTGCTATTTCACAATATCAATGCTAATGATTTTAGTATTGATGTCTTTGTTTTTTGGGTACTACCAAAAATTTTTTTATTTTTATTTTATTGATTGTTTATTTTTCAATCTTACTATTGAAATTTCATATTAAAATTCGATCTCAATCTCAATCTCAGATAGAAATCAATTTCAATATGGAAATTTTTATAATGCGGATTGAAATCAATCTCAATCTCAATCTAATAATTTTTGAAGACACCCAATGCTTGCCAAGAGGAAGAAGCTAAAGATTTACTTAAAGGATTTAAAGAACATCTGTCCAAGGCCAAAGTAGAAAGAAATTATAATAAAAACACCAAATTAGCAGAAGAACAAAGAAAACTAGTTAATCAAAATTATTCAAAACAATATTGCAGTATTGATGCTACTGCTCATTATAGTTATGATTGAGCCCAAAATGTTTGTGTACCACATTCATATAAACAGGTGAGTAAAATTTATTATCTTAGTCCATGTAAAGTTCATTTAATTGGTATTCAAGATGAGGCAGTAAGGGAGCAAATTAATTATGTTCTTAATGAAGATGAAATTATAGGAAAAGGTCCTAATGGAACTCTTAGGATGATCTTTGATGGAATTAAGAAATTGAATAAAGGTGAAAACATTTAAAGATTACTTGTAACAATGCTGGTGACAAAATAAGAATAATTTGACTATTTGATTTTATTATTTATATTTGGTGATTTGTGGTTATTATGAAAATATTGAATCGAATTTCATGATTCCAGGACATACCAAATTTAAATGTATTGTAGCTTTGGTTTAACAAAAAAAACTCCATAGGAAAACAATAGTAGATCATATGAATCATGTTGTTGATGTGGTAGGAAGATTTAGTCCAGCAGGATTGAATAAAGCTCAATGTTATGAAGGTGGAAAAGTTTTTCAATACTTGGATATCAAACCCATTTTTGGAATTTATTTTAAGAGACTATCAAGCATTTAGAAATATCAACATTTTCTTTTCGAAGCATCTAATCTTGGTACTATGAAAGTTCAAGAAGTTGCTAATGGACCTTTTACTGAATTCAATTTATTGAAAACCAAGAAAGCAGATATCTTTGAAGAAATTAAAGCTTTATCTATTTTAGTGTTAACACCACCTCCTTTGGATTATAAAAGGCAAGAATATCTACCTTTATAACAATAACAATTGGTCCAATGTGATATTTTAGGATGCTACGGGAATCATTTCAACAAACATTTTCTCACTAATTCACAACATTGATTTGCTTAGTAAAAAAAATATGTATTTGTATTACCTGTTTATTTGATTATTTTCATGGACCATCAAGTGAGTTGATACTTTTTTAGGGGTGTGTACTAAAATAATATATTATGGTAGTAAATATAATAATAAAAAGTAAAAAAAATAAAAAGAAATAATTTACAATGTCAAACAAGAACAATGAGGATTAAATAATTTAGAAAGAATAGAAGATTGAGAAGAAAGATTTTATTGACCAAACTGAACAATTGCATCAAATTGAAAAGATTTAGAAAAAAGAATTGGAGCAAAAGATAGAAAGAAGCATTGGAGAAAAAAGATGAAAGCAAACAAATCTCTTTATTAAAAGAAACTCATCAAAAAGAGATTAGAGAGCTGAATGATAAAATCAAATAAGGATATTTTATCTATGGTTTTGCACTGAAAAGCAGTGTTAATTCACAGAAAAAGATTAAAGAACTAGAAAAGGGATCGGAAGAGAAAGAATTATTGGATGATTATTTGAAAACTAGAGTTGAGGAAGAAGAAAAAGTTGAATGTCACCTAAATGCCTCAGAAGTAGCTGAAGGATGAAGTAAAAAAAAATTGGCTGAAAACTTAGAGCAGTTAGAGTCAGGAAATACAAGGTATTCTCTTGACCTTACAAGGTAATGAAAATGAATTGCAAGCTAATCAAAAAGAGATGAACAAACAAGCCCAAGAAATTCAACAATTAAAACAAGAATTATATTTAGCCAATAATCCTTTGCCAGTATTACCAAGGAAAAAAAGAAAATTGCAAAAAATCACAAAAAAGATAACTTGCCTAAGAGGAAATAATTGAAGTAAATCCCAAGGAACCCAGACCAACTCATACTAATTCTTTTTTATCGAATCTATTTTTAACTTTAAAAGACAGTATTCTTGTTATATTATTCCAAGTTAAGTATCAAATTATTTCTCTACTGATATCCTCTTCTTTCTGGTTTTTGTGGCCCTGTGTTTAATGTTCTTTTATTTTCTTTCTTGGTAAATTTCACAAGTAATCTTTTCTTTGCCTAAACATTTTTGCAAAAGATTTGTATCTACTAATTTAAAAATATAAGGAGCAATTTTTTCATCTTGTTCCTTTTTCAAAATACTTCTAATGGTGCTTCAATTTTTGGGTTTATGGTAGACCTAATGTAAATTAATTTCATATTAACTATTTTTATCTAGATTGTGATGTTAGGACTAACAATATTGATCCCTGAAATTTTGGTAGTACCAATGTTCACTTTTGTCTGGTTTTGTTACAGTATGCCCCAATTTAGAAGTTTCTTTTTTGTTAATCAATTTAAGATTAGAGTCTTTAAATTTTCTTATTGATATAATTTTGATTTTCCATACTAATATACTGCTACCAAACATTTGTTATATATAGCAAGCAGTACTATTCCATTTCGATATGGTCTGTTTTTCCTCCAAATCAAGGTATAGTCTGATTCATTTATAGATTATGAACTCTTTCATATGGGGCATGCTGCAACAAAACCAGACAAAAGTGAACATTGTTATTACCAAAGATTTCAGGGATCAAAATTTAGTAATGTGATTATTAAAATCTTCCATTTGTTAACCTCTTAATATTAGGTGATATATAGAATTACCTCTATATAAAAATAGTTAATATGAAACTCATTTACATTATATTTACCATGGCAAGAATTACAGCACCATTAGAAGTATTGTGAAGACTATTACTATGTACTAGAGTTGAATCTGATTCCAATCCAGTTTCAATCTAGTGTGTTGTTTAGAATCCAAATTCGAACCAGATTGACAAAAATAAATAAGATCCAACTCTACTCCCATCATTACAAGCACTTTTTATAGAGCTCTTTTATCTTTTGTGGTAGTAGTTGTACATTTAATTGCCTTGTTAAGATAGTATGCTATAACACTACCACTTGCAAAATCCCATGTAAGTTCAATCATATACATAATGTGAACATTAATAAGATTCGAAGTGTGTATCTCCCCTGCAGAGGGTTTGCTCATAACATCAGAAAAACATAAGTACATAATCTAGAAGCATAAAACGACCTTGAAGTTGGATGTTCAAGCTTTTCAGGGAAGGCTTCAGTATCAAGGAGAGATGAAGATTTAAGTGGTGATTACATAGAGATATTTCTTTCAGGACAAGGAACTAAATCTGTATTTACCCTGTCAACTTTCAAGAATCAAGTTCAAACTTGATAAGTCCCAGCAAGCCCCAAGAAAGAGCCCTGCTCATTGTCGTGTAGATCTGGCCTACTACAAACATACTTTTCATCAACCAATGTGTCTTGTGAACAGTCAAAGAAAAGGCATTCCATAATGTGAATTGACACCTCAAAGTATATACCCATTAATTTCAACATTTATTTTAGGTGATGTTTCCATTTGTTGAAATGTGACTTCCACATTATCATCATCACTTTGGTGATCACACCTATCATTCCATTGCAGGTATTGTGTACAAACAACTTACTTATTGTTCAAAAACATCACCTTTCACTCTCTTGGATAATGGTTGGTTCGGGTAATGTCCAAAAGGTAAGCTGTCATGACTCACCATCTACCACTTCAGAGTAACTGCCAATAAAACAATAGGATCAAAACATTGATCATCAAATGGCAGACTTTGACAAATGAGGGCATTTTATTTGCTCTAATATTTTACGAAGCTCAACACATGAGTAGAATTTATTATAGTGATGACTCTTGAATTTTGTGTATTTCTTATCTTTTTACTATTCATGTATTCATTTTTTTTTTTAGATAGATGTACTCTTCAAGCAGTTGGTAAATTCCAAGTCATCTTGTTGTCTGTGTATTTTTTGGGGGTGAAAATCAATGAATCATTTTATATGTACACAAACTAAGGATTTATTGTTAATAAGACAAGAAATTTTGAATGTGAAATCAAAGGTTGATTTTATTATTATTAATTTTTTAAGCAATTTAATTTTATTTTATTAACACATATAATAAATCATGTTAATTGTTACTAATAATCATATGAGATGTTTTTGATTTTTGTTTAAAAATGATTACCACCAATATGACATGCAAGTTTCATATCTTCTAGCTGTATAGTGACTCATTTAGCTATAAAAATAAATAAATAATTAATTAATTTGGTAATGTGTTTATATATAAACCATTTAATAATTTACCATGAATGGCAGCCAAATTTGTATCCACAAATAAAGAAACTAAATATGCTTCTGCACCCTGATATAAATCATACAATCATTATCATTAAAATAACACGTATATGTAAGTAAATATATACAGTCAGACCTCCATAAGTGCACCCTCCATAAATGCACACTATGTTTCAGTCCTGACCTCAGGACTTAGTGATAAATGTACACCCTCCATACTCTGCACTGCACGGTATTTTTTCAGTCCGCTCATATGAAAACTCTCTCCATAAATGCAC